ATAATTTCACTTTATAAATTGCCTGTTATTACTGTAAAATTTAACCTATAATTCCTAAAATATGGCCTAAAATTTGGCTCAAAAATCACACAATAATTGTATAAATTCAGGTCAAAAATAGGATAATTATTGAATGAATTACCATGCAATAATTGTGTGATTTATTGCAATTTTTAGCACAATTATTGTATGGTCAAATATACAGAAATCGTAGTGAATTTAATTGAATGATTTTTCAACAAAAATCACACAGACTTTTTTCATAGGGATGTAATAGAACGTTTCTTCTCATGTTAGACTATTTTTAATTTCAAATGAAACCTTTTTAAAATTATTACTTTTAAATTATTACTTTTATTATTTCCTTTTAATAATTGCTATATACTTTAATATTTAAATATTTCTTTTAATATTATTTTAATAACTTTTTCATTTTACTCATTAAATATACATATTAAGGCTTCTGCTCTTATTATTTCCTGCAAAGACTTTGGAATTGTAAGTCGTCAGTTGTGTGATTATTTAATATATTTAAAAATAAATATATTACAAAAAAGTTAATCATATTTAATGATTATGTATTACCTAAATAGCAACCAGTTCCCACTGATGATAATTTTTCTTTGACTTTAATTATTTTTTTAAGTGGATTTGAAAGTCTGCACCTAATAGTATATAAATAAAAATTCAATAAAACTTTTAAATTAATCATAAAAATTCGATCCTGTCCAATTAAATTTAATTAAAGTTAACATCAATGCTTGCTTATGTTTGTAATATTAATCGTAAATAAAAAAAAAAAAAATGTTACGACTGGTCTTTTCGATCTTATCGCGAGAGCCTAACGTATTTATATGTGGCGCAGGTTGATGATGTATTGCAGAAAAAATGAGATCGTAGAAAAAAAGATAAAAAGTTATCTTTTAGATTTAGTCGCAAAAAATAATTACGTAATAAATTCATTAATTACTGTTTGTACGAAAAAAATACAATATTGCATTTAAATATTAAAAAACGTATATAAATATTAAAATACGCACACTTTCACTACAGAATATACTGTATACATATTGCGTTAAATTTCGCGGATTTAACCTTTGACAACGTTAAAAAATATGAACTCTCATGCATTTAAATAATATTTTTCTTTTTTTTAAAAAAAAATATGAAAATTAGAGCCAGTATTTACTTGAAAAATTAAATATTTGAAATTTGACCAAAGATATTTTAATGATTCATTGTAAAAAATATAAAATAGTTAAAAAAAAAAGGAAAAATAAATAAACAACTTATTTTTAGTTATTTATTCATTCATTTCTCGTTTATTTTTTTTATTTATTTTCATTATTATTCATTTTTTTTTTAAAAAAAAAAACAAAAGGCCAGTCTTTAATATTTAACACCAACATTTTCAGCAAAAAATTTGATAGAGATTTCAAAAACTTCATCAACCCTTTTTTTAATTAATTCATCATTAAGATTTCCACGAGAACCTGCAAATCCATGTTTCATATCATTAAATCGGTTTTGAATATTCTTATCAGCGAATGGTTTATCTTTCATAGCATCAATAAAAGGTTGCTAAATCAATAAAAACATTTTTTTAGTAAAAATAAAAATAAAAACAAAATAAAAAATTAAAATGAGATTATTTATTAAACTCACGCTATCAACATCTCCGGCTGCAGGTAAGAATGCAATAGGACATTGAGATTTTTCAAATTTTTCTGGTGGTTGAATTCCAGGAGCATAATGGATTAAAACACAAGCATCAAAATCTTTAATTGAACAAAGAACTGAACCAAGAATTCCACCCCAACAAAATCCTGTAAATCCAAAATTTTCAACACCATATTCTGAACGAAAATATTCAATAACTTTTAAAGTATCCTCTACGTTTTTTTCCGTTGGATAATTCTCCTTGAGAAACTTGATTATACCTTGAAGTCTACACATTTTAAAAGTTGTATTAAATTATAAAAAAAAATTAAATAGAAATATTATATATTTACCCTCCTTCAAAAGATTCACTTGTTTGTCCACGAAAATAATCTGGAAGTAAAGCAAGAAACCCAGCTTTCGCTAAAATATCACAATATTGTTTTAGATTTGGATGAAATCCGTAAATATCGTAAGAAACAATGATTGCTTTTTTGAAAGGTTTCGATTTATTTTCTGGTATTGAAACATAAACATCAAAATCGGCAACTTTCACTGTATTTCCAATAGGTTCATAATCACTTTTAACTGGAGGAATATCATGACAAGTTATTTCCGACATGATTTTAACTATTATAATAGTTGAAAGAAAATTTTTTAATCCACGATCACGGTCGATTATTAATAATAAAATTTTTGTATCAACTTTGTGCGACAAAATTTTTAAAACCTTATTAAAATCCGTTAATTGGGATCAACATAGTTTAATTCGGTAAAACCTTTGTTAATTTACTATATGGGGTAACATATTTCCGATAAGTGAAATAATCTCTTTTTTTTTGTGTTATTGCACAACGTAAAGTGGTTTTTTTTCTTTTTTTTTAAAAAAAAATCCACCATCATTTAAATAAACTTGTATTGAATATATTAAACGGATGTGAATTTATAATAAACTGCCAAGGAATTATCTTGTCATGAAAGGTTAGTTTATTCCAGTTTTTTGGGGTTGATCAAAAAAATGTTTCACACACACTTTTAAGCAAATATTCAATTCAGTACATACAAACCACGAAGAATTTTCGAATTTTTTTTTTTTTCCAAGAAAAATCTTCACCTACTTACATTAATAATTATTTTTTTTATTATTGCAATTTTCTTATGTAGTGAACAAAAAAATTTTTTTTTCTCGACGATTAAAATTATTGACACTTACTGTATCTAGTTAAGTGAATTTGTAAATCAAGATTAATAATGGATACACAGCCCCAAAAAACTTTTTTTTTTTGCTTACAAAAATCTGATATCATGGTGGGACATAACATAATCCATCTATACGAAAAAACGTTTCGGCACGTGTCTTCTTCATGTGATAGAGATAGAACATGTGATACATGGGAGGAAATATTTAAACTTTACAAATATAAAAACGCTTTCCATGGTATCCCGTACTTAAAACCTAACGCAAGAATAGATGAATCTGCGTATATTAGATGGACCTCTTGTAATTTTCTCCATTCAGGACCTTGGCAATCTCATAGAGATACTCTTCTCTTTAATAGCATAGATGTTTCCATTTATTTTCATGATTTCTCTCATATTAATAGATTAATTCGTCCTATTTAGTTCTTTTTTTTTTATTTTTTCTCTCCTCTTAGCCTTTATACACACCAGGGTGGCGCTGTCGTTGTGGCGGTTTTGTTTACGTTTTGATTTGAATTACTTTAGACTTACTTATAGTTTGTTCCTGTTCATTTTAAACCGAAACTTTTTATTTCTTTTATTGAATGAATGAAAATAAACAATAATATTATAGTAAAAAATTCTCAAAGTAGTAGAAAAGTGGGCGTTTTGAAGCAAAAATTTTTTTGCTTATATGATTACATATCACATGATTACTCCTCTCCTGCGCTGCGGGGAGTTCTCATTTTTGACTCCATAATTTTTTCCGCTTATATGACTACATATCATATGATCTGCGGGGACTACATATCTATTGTGTGACTTTGATATAAAAAAAATGAAAGCCCCTTTTTGCAGTGTTGCCACTGGCATCCCGCCCTCTCACTCATCTGCTTTCATATTATAATATCATTTCCAATTAGTTAATAATTTTCACCGCCGATCGCATAACCTGTATATGATTTCACCCACTCAAAAAAACCAAGTCGCTGAGATAAATTATAATATCTATATACTATTAATATATATTGGATACCAATATATACACGATTACTCATTACATGCCAAAATCGAAATAAATCGAAATTTTTAGTCAAATCTTCACTTCAAATCGAAATAATATTTACAGGTTCCTGGTCATGTGAGATCGATTCATTACAAATCAGAATAATTGCACTTGAGTCGTGTTACATTAAATTCTGTTAAAACCCATCAAAATGACATCACATCACTACTTAAACTCTTAAATATGTCAGAGTCTCAATTTCCACGGTCTCTTTTTCCTCAATTTACCGAAGAAGATTTTAAAGAAGCAAGTGAGAATTTTAAGAGTTACGTGAATTGGACGGAATATGATAAGTGGGTTGAGGCCGGATGTCCGTATGAAGAGCACGACGAAATACTTATGAATCTGAATCTCGAACATAATGGATCTTCTCAAACAAGATCAACTGGTAAGTCTATCTACTATCATTTTCATGTGTATGTTTGGTTAGCCATACTTATAAAATTCTTTTTTAAGGAACCCGACGACATGTTAACGGAAAAAGAGAATACATAAATGAAATTCGCCCTAACGGAAATTCCAGGAAGACAAATCATAAAGTCGGGAAAACAAGCAATGCAACTCCTTCCAATGAAGGAACCAAAATTGCCGTTTGTAAGAAAAGTGAACATTGTAATCAAGGCTCTGGACCAAACAACGTTCTCAACATTAACAGGGTACACGAATCAAATGCTCCTAGATCTACAAAAGGATGATATTCTTAATAAAGTAATCGGCCGTGACGTTATTGAAATAATTAGAGTGTTTAAATTTAATAAAACAAGTGGTCGAATGGAGCTAACTGGATCGAATATTGGCGCATTTAATATCGTACCTAAGGAACTATATATGTACACTATGATCTTGCCACATAATCATTACTCGATGTTAAGACATATAGAAGGAAGGTGGTTTAGGGATTTAGCATATTTTTTAATCATGATTCCTATGCACATTTTCTTAACGTATTCTTTATTAATATTTCTAACAAACCCTAAAGAATTATAATATTTTTTATTATCATAACGCAGTATATATAATTTTTTTTTATACAAATAATAAAGTAAAGACTCGTTTTTACTTTGCTGTATATTTTGTCATGTGACGTAGCGAGTGTGCGACATGTATGTTATTATTTTTCGTACAGAACTTGATATGTACAGTACAATTCTTCAGAAATATCTTGTCAAGATGATTGGTGATCTTTGAATGGTGTTTGACCTTATTAATGTAGAGTAAACGTTGGTCGATTTCCGTGACGAAATCATGTTCCATTCAAGACATATACAGTATAAGGTGAGGCACTGGTTAATGATCCTTTTATCCGCTTTGTACATAATTTATCGAAACTAATAAAATTTAAGCAATTTTACCTCTATACAAAATCAAATCAAAAATTCATGGTCATACTCTTAAATATGAAAATTGTGATCTCCAGCATATGTCCCACGCTTTGAACTAAATAATGGGCTCCCATTAGTCTACACGTTCTTATCCACATATTTAGTTTATTTTTTATTTCCACAAATTCATTGAATTACACGAATTCCTATCATTTCTGCTTTTTTTTTTCTTGTGAACGTAATAAAATCTAATAAATTGATAAACTCATATTTTTTATCATTACCGAATTTATAGAATTCCTTGATTCTAGGAATACATATAGTTCTCTGAATTCTAAGATTTTTTTTTCATGTGTCTGCTGTTGAGTACTCTTTAGATAAATGAGTAACTTGTTATTTCCATCTTTCCACACATACTACGCAACACAACTTAATCAGCTTCCATGTTCTATTAAAAATGATATATGGCGACGTCTCACAACTCGGAAATACTGTATCCGCTAACGATAGAAGAGGCGAGTGGTATTCGTCTTGAAGTGGAAGAATTGTTGAATCGGGGGTAGCTAATTACGCAAAGAAAAAGAAAAAGGATCGTCAGCGACTGAAAACAACAGCTAATACGACCCAGGTATGGATTGATACTTTTAACAGGTTAGTTTTATTCGAACAATCTTTTCCTGAACGAGAAAAAGATATAACTGACCATGAAAATCTGTTGCATCAACATGAAAAAAAATATGTGGAGAAATTGGAACAAGCAAAATTAGAAATTCAGAAAACAATAACCAATCAAGTTTCTTAGTGCTGAATCTCAAACGTTTTCAAGATGAACATAAAAAATTTGTAGATGACTTACGTTCATTAAAGAAAAAATTGGAGGATCAATATAATAACAAAATGTAACGCATTGCACCTCATGAAGCCTCCATAAGCAAATCCATAGAAGAGAAAGACAAAAAAATCACTTTTTCTAAGAAGCTTATTCAGGAGACAAGAAAAACTCTTACATCTGCGGAAAAGTCTATTGCTACTGTATGTTTGAAAACAACAATCAGAGATATTATCTCCGCAAGGGAAGTAATAATTATTACTCTCTACGATTTATTTATTACTTTTGTTCCTAGTCAAGCAAATGATAGTACTATAGAACCGAAAAAATATAGCACTGTCTATGAGTGAGATAGATGGAACAATTTGCGAAGTGATATTGAAACTGACTAGGGATGGCAACGGTCGGTCATGGTCGGTCATCGGTCGGTCATAACCGGTCAAGAACCTTTGACCGACCGACCGACCGTTTGACCGACCGGTCTGACCGACCGGTTAACCGACTGTTTGACCGACTGGTTAACCGATCCTGAAAACGTTTGCGAAACGTAATTTAATTGAAATACTTAATAAAAAACGTTTTCGCAACGTTTTCTATTAAAATAATTAAAAAAACGTTTGCGAAACATTTTTTTTATTAAATTACGTTTCACAAATGTTTTCAGGATTGTCGGTCAAACGGTCGGCTAACCGGTCGGTCAGACCGGTCGGTCAAACGGTTTGTCAGAGGTCTTTGACCGACCGATATCGGTCACGGACCGGTCATAACCGGTTAATGACCGTGACCGTTGCCATCCCTAAAACTGACACAGAATTCGAAAAAAATATACTTTGGAAGATAATCGTTCAGTTCCTACAATAATGAATTAGAAAAATTACATAAAGATGCTATTAAAGCAACTTTCATTGTCTGAAGAGTGCTTTCCGGAGGAACTTCTTAGTTTAACTAATTTATTGTTGCGAGGCATTTTCTTTTGGGTTTGGCCTAGAAATAGCCCTGCTCTGCTGAAATAAGTCACATTTCTTTAGCAATAATTAGACCATATTCAAGAGCTAGTTTAAGTTGCATTTCAAGTACTTTAAGCTCTGCTCAGAACATTCTAAGCATTTTTTTAAATTTTGCTTACGAAACTTATTCTCCATAGTAATCACTTCTCTTTGGACTTGGTAAATCAAAAAAAGGATAATTATGATCTTGCCATTATAATTTACTGTGAACTCGCCCTTCATTATAGGTTCCCATCCAGCCTGATGTTGCCAAGGTACGCCCAATATTAATAATGATTTGTCTTTTCCGTTCTTATCCTTTTCTGTTTTAACAACCAGAAAACCATCTCTAAATGTATTTCGTTTTCCCTTGGCCAATAGTTATAGGTAGGTCATAGATAAGATAGGGATGCCAACGGTCAGTTTCGGTTTTAAAACCGTGGTTTTCAGCTGAAACTGAACTGACTGCAAAACTGACCGATAAAACCGAATTGCTGCAAATTGAATGAACTAATGCTAGAAAGTGTTAATTATAATTTTATTTGATAATATTCCTTAAAGTTTTAATTTTTTTACAATAATAATGTCAATTTTGCGAATTTTTTCAGCGGAATGAAAAATCATGTGATCAACGTATAAAAGATAAATTTTCTTATTATTTCAAAAATAAGAATACTATATATATATATATATAAACACCAAAATCACTGAAACCAAACCGTAACCAAATCGGTAAAACCCGGTTATAATCGGTTATAACTGAACTTTTGACATCCCTAGTCATAGATTGTCCCTACGGTTTTCGCCAAACTAGCAATACCTGTTATTTTATGAGAGCCATTTTTATCTATCGCTTCTTGGAAATATTCTGTGAAATGATTGAAGAATCTGATCCTGTGTCAATCACAGATAAGACGAAAAGTAGTAGAGTAATGCCAGTGTGTTGAGTAAAGTATTGTGATATTTAGCGGTGTGTAACATAAAGGGTGTGAACCATACTCAAGTGATGAATAGACACCCGGCCAAACTGCTGGGCTGAGCTTGGGCCGAGGTGTTTATTTATCACTTGAGTATAATGTCCCATCCACGTTATACTCTACTCAACACTTCCACCATATTCTACTACTATTCGTATCACTCATCAATCACCGCATATAAGATAATTTCTGTGTCTATTTTGCAACAAATCGAAGCCACATCATTTGGAGCCTTAGGATAGCATATGACTGAACTTTACATAATTGTGTCTTATGCAATTGGGAATCTCCTGATCCTTTATAATTTGACGATTGTGCCTTTTGATATGCCTTGATTGCGTGATTTAGTGCTAGATTATTCTGTCTCAATCCTATAGGTTGCCGTTTGTATCTGGCGTCCCCACCAAATACTAGATCAACAGCATGCGTATTTTCTGGTAATTGACCTGTAATTGATAACAAATAAACAAAATATCATATACTTCTGTGACTTGTTTCTATATCTAGGACCCAGAAATATATATAGGGGTCAGGTGATGAAAAAAATTTTTACTACGAGCTGTACGCCTTTTTTCAGGGCCAGAATTACGATAATGTCAGTCAGTTACTATAATAGGAAATAAAATTCTGACTGGAATTATCAAAAATTATCTAAAAAAGGAAAGATTTTCATGATTTAACCTGACCCTTTTATATATATTTCTGGGTCCTCCATATCTTTTCTTTCTCTTCAGGAAAGTAGTTTAGGATATATTGCTCTAAAAGCATGTCTTTTGTGCTAATATATTCTTTGTTGAGATGGAGGAAAATTTCTTGCACAATTTCTTAGGATATTGTGCGACTAATGATCTCGAAATATATCTTAACGTTAATATCCTTTTTTGGTTTCGAGAAATAACTACTCCGTTACCATTCTTAACTCCGTTGTTATTCTTAACTCCATTGTCTTTGGTTTTACTTCGTGAGCCTTGCTCAGTTTTTTTCTTGGTAGATTTCTTTTTTGTTACTTCTTTAACCTCCTTACCATTCTTTTTCACGCTCTTTTTTTTTAACTTTATTGCATCTGTAAGGTTCATTATCCTCGCTATTAGAAGATGTCTCTGTCTCACAGTCTGTCTCATATTCTGTTTCGCTGTCAACATCGCGTGAGCCCAAATAACAACTTTACTATCTGAATCAGAATTTGATTCTTATGTCTCACTTCCTTCAGTTATACTTTCCTCATTTGAAGAATCATAAGTTTGTGCTAATAGAAGACCTGAACAGTGGCGTTTTGTTTTACTTGTCTTTTTACTAGCTTTTTTAGTGGAATATGTCCTTCTATATAGTTTCTTTTGTAATACTCGTATAAATGTCTCATGACCTAATTTTTCGATTTCTTGTTCGATAAACTTAAAGAGTTCACATCCCTTGGTGAACTATTGGGATAACCTAAACGTTCTGCAATAATTTCTAATGCCAAAAAAGCCTCACCGCTACTTATAACTGGTTTCTTTTGTCTTGATGAAATACGTTTTTCTACAATTCGACTAATATGATCATCTTCCGTATAAGTTTTTGGCTATTTATAAGATAATTTAGGTGGTTGTGGATAGGGGTTATATTTTCTTACATATTCAAGCATTTCTCTGCTTCAGCTAATGCTTTTTCAATATTATCCAGTGTGTCATTGTATTTGCCATCATCCGAAGATTATACTAGTTCATGGGATTTAATCCACGAATAAATTGCTGGTCATTTATAATCTCAGCGACCTTACAATTTTATTAATTTTTATTGCGAATTCACTGTCATATTCCCTTACTTGTGTAAGTTGACCAAAATGAGCTAATTGGTTTTTCCAAAATTTTACTATAGTTTTATTATTTTTCGTGTTCAATCGTAGTATAGAAGTACCTAAGCCTGTAAAGTTGCTTACCAATCCAATCTTAATATCAGGTGCAATTATAACATTATTAGGAAGCCCTCCTCCAGCATTTGGTTTTTTTTATATAAAATTACCTCCTCACAATCACAAATCACATTAATAATAAAACCTCACTCAATCACATAATTTTGGCTGTATATTAATTTTTGGCTAAAATGACAAAATCACATGATTTCGGATAAATAATGTTTCATAAATCGTAATTTCCTTATTAGGAAATTTGCAATTCCAACCAGCACTATATTCGGCCAGAACTTTAATATGTCAGTGATAAATTTAAAAATTTCTAATATAATCGATTCTGAACCAATTAGGTGATTATATGGAGGTCTGACTGTATTATGTTTGTAAGAAAACTTAATAATTTCTGAAGATGAAAGAAAAGAAATAATTGAATTTTTAAAGAAGACCTGATTAATCAGGCATGGAAAATATATAAAGAAATGAAGTAAAAATAATTGGAATAATTTTGCAATGAATAGGATAATGAAAGTTTAATTTTTTAAAAATTCAATTTTCATTTTTTTTAAAAGAACCGTAGTCGAATTTTTTTCTCAATGATTCTTGACTTCTACAGTGACACCTCTATAAGTGCACCCTCTATAAGTGCACGCACTATATAAATTCTCTTTAAGTGCACGGTGGACCTGATCCCAACTTATAAGAGCTCTTAATATTTTACTCTCTATAAATGCACACCCTCTCTAAGTGCACATTCTACTATTTTTTTACTATGGTCCCAAGGGGGGTGCACTTAGAGAGGTGTCACTGTATAAGGTTTTATATACCGTACCGCACTGCACATAATACCCGGGTATTATACAAAATACCTGATTTAAAAATTATATAATACCCGTGGCCAGGCCGTGGAAGCTACCAGAATTAAGGGAGTGCTAATTGAGAGTAAAAATTTTATATCTAGTAAAATACCCGGCGTGGGGTACTAACTTTGGGTACTATAGGCAGTACCAGGAAAATTTTATCAAAATGTAAAATAATGTTTCAAAAACACTTCAATATGTAAATAAAATTCCAAATAAATATTAAATAATATTTGCTGATTCAATGTCAAGCTCTATTGTCTTAAAAATAGGAAATGAAAATTGTGACAGCTTATCGTTTTATATAATATATATCTTACGTTTTTTAAAAAAAATAATAAAGTAAAATTTGAAAATAATTTAGTAACATATGAAGAGGCATTACTTGCACAAGGTCTTCATGATAAAATTAAATGTTTGAGATTGATTTTATCATGCTAATCAGAGAGTAATCAAAAATATTCATTGGCAGATCTAAAGTTTGACATGGTTATTGAGATGTTTTGATAGTATTAAAGACAAAATTTGGATTGATCAAAGTTATAGAAATAGAAAAAGAGCATAGACTTAACGAAAAAGGAAGGGAATGGTGAGGATGAAAGTTATAATAATAACAAAACAATGATTATAAAAAAAAATTACATGAAATAGAAAAGCAAGTAACGCTAACAATATGGCCAATATTTCTTTAGATCAATAAACCGGATCTTCGATAAACCGGATTTGGGCCTAAACCGGACTTTTTTGCTGGAACCAAATCACGTATATTAAAATAGTTTCAGTTACCAGAGTTTACTAATAAAAGCTCGATATTCAATTTTCTAATCAGCTATAGGTAAAAATGATTCGATAACCCGGACCACGTGATCATTAACCAATAAAATTTAAGTAAATCTTAATTTTGGCCGGAATTACAAAAATCTTAATTCCGGCTGAAGTTATATATTACTTATATATTTTATATTCATTTTCATGACCTCTATGACTTAAAACTATGATGAACAATTAAAATATAGTATATATTAGTTTTACTAGCATGAAAATTTTTTTAAAAATTCTGTATAATAGATTTTCAATATATCGAAATTTTTTCACTATACCATAAACCAGATATTTTTAGTGGAACCGGTAGATTCGGTTTACCGAATTTCATTGTGTAAATAGAAGATAGATTTTTAGTTGTAAAGATAATATACTCTATGAGTTCATTATTTTAGGTATTTCTATTTAATTTGTAATTGTGATTTATTAATTAAATTAATAAAGAAATGCGTTACTAAGAAAAAATCAATTTTTTTTTTTAAAAAAAAAATAAAAAATAACAAATTTAATAATAATAAGTCAAATTTTTTTTTTCAAAATTGAGTCCGTATTAAGCGTACCTTTGACATTCTGGACCTACAAAAATAAGAACTAACGTTCATTAAATAATATTAATAAAAAATTATTTTTTCGAAGGTTATACCTTTGGAATGGGAGACCGGAACTTGCTAGCCTACAAAAAAAAAAGAGCAAATAAACGTTAGCCAACTAAAGAAAAAAGAAAGACCTTTGAAATTACTTTCGAAATCTTGCAATAATCTGCACAATATATAATACAGTCGGACCTCTATGTACCGTCTGTACCGATACTATTGTTTTGGGGAATATATCAAATTATCGTTACATATACAGATTATTAGTAATCATAATGCGGGCCAAGACCAGCATTATGCAAACTAATATATTAAAATTTCATGTGATTTGGATGGAACCTTTACGTTAACTCCGGCCAAATTTATAGTGTTGGCCAGAATTAATACCAGTGTAACCTAAAGTATCACATCAACTATATAATATCGGTACAATGAGGTTTTTTTATTAATTGTGAAACAGGACATACAATATGGCAGTTTTGCTTGTAGAGCGGTGTAGAAAATTTATCGGTACAGGCAATTATCGGTATATAGGATATCGGTACATAGAGGTCTGACTGTAGTGTTTCGGGGGAAACCGAAACTAAATTTTTGGCGAAACTTCCGAAACCATATTTTATTTATTTTTTGTAATACATGACTGGTTAGCAAGTAGTGTTTACATCCAGGGTAGTACATCCAGGTAGTTGGCCTATTATGAAGCGATTGAAGTTCAAAAAATCCAGGGTACTCAAAACTATCAATAGTAACACCAATCCCCTGCGTGTGTGCTACGTGTTCACTTGTACAAGTCAAATAGAGTTTTATATGCTGTACAATCTGTACATGTATGTTAATCATAAGACGGAAAAAACATTTTTTTTTTACTTTTAATTAAAACTTCCTCGAAAAGACCTAAGACGGCAATTATTCTTCACCTTATCATGTTACCATAACCTATATACCTGCAATATATTTCCGAATACTTTCCTTAGTTTCAAAGTAAACCTATATACCTGCAATATATTTCCGAATATTCTCTTTAGTTTCAAAGTAGGGGACCTGCCTTTCCAAGTATCAAACTAAGTTTTCGAACAAATAACGCAAAAGGCCAACGTAATAGACAGGAACACATCTAAATTTCAGTAATACGGAAAGTAAGTCATCAGATAATACAAAGTCTCTGTACATTATGCATACTAGAAGGATTAAAGTGCTTATTACTTATCTCTTATGCAAAACCTCGTTTTCTTTCTTTGTGAAATTTATGTTTTTGCCGCCATTCATTTATATGTAATAGGGATAGGTTGTCGTATACTTTTCGCTATAACGAGGATATTCTAGAACCGTTTGTAAAGTAAATACTTTATTTCATTGGGAATAATTGTTTCGTAGCTGAAAAGCCATCCTGATTATTTGTATAATATTGGTTTTATTTTGGATCGCGTTATCGTAACTAATTCTCTCTTTTGCTTCCACTACTAATTTTCTTATTTTAAAAAATAGTTAGATATGAGTATAATACCGAAAAATAACAAATGTTGTGCAGTTCTTGACGAAGTAGATGTATATTCTGACGTTTATACTAGCGATAACAGAAAGCTTTGGGATAACAGGACAATTCCGTATAAATTTGACAAAGATATATCTTTTGAACTTAAAACATCTGTGATGAAAGCAATGGAAAGGATTGCAGAAGTAAGTTCAATAGTATTCGAAGAAAGAAACGACCAAAAGGACTATATCAAGATTGTTGATAAAGGTGGGTATTGGTCCTTCATTGGTAAGCAAGGTGGTAAACAGGTAATTACTTAATTTAAAAGGAATGTATTCTATTTATTATATTTATTATACTCTATGATTCAAGTCGCTAATCCTCACTCTTATTTATTTTGCAAATATAAAGAAATTATCGGTTACCGAGAACTGGCCGCATCCCATAGGCCACGCTATGCATGAACTGATGCATGCGCTCGGTTTTCACCATGAACATTGTCGCCCAGACCGGGATGAACATATAAAGATTTTAGTTAAAGGGGATAATAAAAGTAATATAAATTATGAAAAGCTTGAGAAATCAGATGTTTTGTGTTATGGCCCATACGACTTCGAATCTATAATGCACTACTCTGAAAAACAGGGGGTTAAGGCGAAGTCAGGAACAAATTCAAAAATAGGTTTGTATGGGCTCCGTTCTGTTCCTTTCATAATTCATACTACCTTGTATAATAACAAATATTTTTCCACGACTCAGGTCAACGTGAAAGATTAAGTTCTGGTGATAAATTGGCACTTAATAAACTTTATCCCCGGGTTGTCTTTCTCTTTCGAAAGAAAATTGTTCTTAACCGTCGAAATCTACGAAGACTAAGACGTTTAACATCTAATTATTTAACATATAATTTATCCAAATTACCGAGACAAAATACAAATAACTTAATTATAAACAATTTCTTTAATGGATATCCCTTTGATCCAGATGCGGATCCAGATGCGGATCCTATTGATTCGAAATAGCTACAATTGAATATTTAAAATAAAGCTTAACTATGTGTATTCAAATTCTTTTAACATGAACGAACGATTCATTTGACTTTATCGACAATATTATTCTAGGATATAAAAAAAACTTTTAAGAGGAAATATGTTGTCCATATAGAATCCCAACTTGTATGTAGAAACAGTTAAACTATATTGATACGTTTCGCTGTATATGATATGGCTGTGAACACGCACGCCATTGGAATTTATTTTTTTCTACATATAATCAGATGAAGTAGGTAGCACTTGAGTTTCTTTATAGTAAATATAACAATATAATATAGTCAGTAAAAAATGACCTCATTTTTGTACATTCATTTTCGAATTACATAAAAAAAACATGTAAAGTGTAATTCTTTCGGTATAGCAACGTACATTTCCTGGACATTTTGTTAACGGATAATTAAAAATTCATTTATGACATAAAATAATAAAATAAAAGCAATCTATATATATAAAATGATATGTTCACAGTTATTAGTTATTACCAAAACTGCGCATACTTCATGTATAAAATCCATCTCACAAACAATGAGACTGTGTCACGATTGCCTAGTTTAAACTTTAAGTAGTCCATGACAATATAATCACATGTTTTGATTCCCCTTTTTAATAATGAAATCCGAGGTTCGCTTCACGAGTCTAGACAGTTCAAACAGTATTAATCGAAGGCGTTAGAGTAATTTCTTACTACATTTTTCGTTTGAAGTGACACATTTTCCCTATTAAAAAAAAATTTCAAAGATTCTTACCTAATACCTATTAAAAAAATTCTCAAAAGAATTTCTATATCAAGAAAAAAACTCTCCTCCTATTAAAAAAAAAATTCTTTACGAAATTCTCTATCAAAAAAAAAATCTCACTTTGTTAGAAAATTTCCGACAAAATTATTTTCGAAAAAAAAAAAATCTTTCCTGTTAAAAAAAATTGTTCCAACAAATTAGGTATATGTCAAAAAAAAAAAAAATCTTATCAAAAAAAGCCTTTGCCTATATTAAAAATAAAAACTCTACAAAAATTGTTTATAAAAAAAAAGCCAAATAAAATAAAATAAGAATTCTTCGTGTAAAAACTATGCTAAACTTAAAAACATGTGATTGACAAAATTGACAAAATATCAACCCAGTGCTGAAAAAGAAACTAATTTTTGACAAGATAAGGTTATCAAGTATAGTTTGATTAAATCAAATACAGTTGGACAAAAACATCAAGTACATAGATAAAACCTCAAGCACGGACAGATAATAATACCAAGCACGAACAGATAAAAACATCAAGCATCATGTATAGATAAAACATCAAGATAAACATCAAGCACATGATAGATAAACAACAAGCATGAACAGATAAAAATATCAAGCTCGTACAGATAAATATCAAGCTTCGGGTTTGGGCATAGCGTGAAGAAGTAGAAGATTCATTCACTAAAATGGTTTTAGTATCAGAATTATTGTGGTTAATCTGGGCATTTGAGACTTCAACACCGTATAAAAAAAAAACAAAAGTTGGTACCTATAATTATTTCCAACTTGAAAAATCGGTCACCTTTTACTGACAAAGCACTTAACAAAGAATTGTTTTCATAGAATAATGAAACGTGGATAATTGTAAATTTTATAATAAAGTAAAAAAAATATACTACGATTAAAAAATTTATTATTATTAATTTTCCGACTGAGAAAAAAATATTAATTACATAGAAACCCTTAATTAAACATATTTGAGCTAACCAGAAAGCCAATAACGCGCTAAATGCTATGAAACTTTGGCAGTAAACAGTTCTCATGTATGCTACTTTATACTCGAACATCGGCTTTTAGAAACGTTGTGTGTCAAATGATTTAAGCTTGGGATATTTTTTTTGATATAATAATATAATTATATAGTAAAAGATAAATTCATGGGGTGACAGTTTTTATGGTGACACAACAAATAAGTTGTCCCCCACACCCTCGGTTCTATGTTGCGAATGTTCGATATGCAACATATGCAATACAGTATGCTAAATATATATCTAATATAGTTAATAAATTTTATATAGTTGGTATATTTTATATAATTAATATATTTTATATAGTTTATATAGTGCGTATATAGCATATATTTAATATGTTATAATTAGTATAGATTTTATTATATCATCGACGGTTAAGATATTCAAAAAAGTTTATTTTCTTACACTTTAAAATATACACTTTAATTTTGTTATTTTCGTATATAAACTTTATCTTTATTGATTAATTATTTTTGGTTTAGTGAAAATCCTTTATTTACGTCTGATTGTATAGGCATATTGGGAAGCTATACTTTATTCGTATCTGATCGGATTTAAATAAAAGTAATAATTTTTAGATAAGACTTAAGACCCTCCGATCCTTCTGCTTAATAAAACCTAAGTTATACATCGCTTAATATCCAAGCAACTAAAGAACTAACGATAACAGTATTTATAAAAACTTATGATATTTATCGCACCAGAAATAAGAATTCCAAAATCTAAATAACAGGAAAAAAAAAATATTATCATTAGAGTCGCATCAATTAACATCATAGTGATCAGTGAACAACAAATACCTATAGAATGAAATTCATAAAATAATGTATTTTTTAGATATATTTATGCTATATATTTCATGCAATGTAAATATTAAAGAATATCATAAATTTGTAAATTAGGCTGTTAAGGCTGTACGATTAAATAATCAAAGATTTATTTAGATTTATGTTTATTATTACATTATGCTCAAATATAGAGAATGAACATTACGTTAAATGATAATTATAGAAATATCAGAGATAATAAATTGCTGTAATGGAGATCTTTTTTCAATGATCTCATTTTTTCACTAAAAAAATTATTTTTTTACGTTTTAAATCTGATTTTGTCACGTGAAAGAAAGGATTCGTAATCCGATTGCCGTGAAATTGTCATGTGATTCTGGTAACAAAAAGGTTAACCTAAATCTATTTATATTCTAACCCCTAATAGATGAAACTCTCTAATAATCCGCAGTAAGCGTTAAATTTTCTCTCAAAAAAAAAAAAAATTTTTTTTGAGGAGTGAGGACCACGGGGTGGCCTCAACGGAAAGGCCTCCTCTTACACTTTAAACTATTCTGACCTTTGAGAGAGATGTGGACGGACACTACAACCGTTCCACGGAAGTTTTTACCAGACGGTTCAGCTTCCTCTTTTTTTCCAAAAAATACTTTCCCTCAAACAGTGCAAAATTCTTTTCTCGTTTCACTAAAAAAATTCACGTGACCAGATCTAATCGAGCGGTTACAACAGGATTTATGATTTCCTCAGATGGATATCATTGGTGTTTGGAATTAGATCGGCTCAAAAAATAAAACTTTTAGATCTGAAAAACGTATACAACCAAATACTTCTGTTTTATTCGTTCAAAATTATTGGATAGAATTGACATCATCAAATCGCGTGGCAGGCAAAAAAACCGCCGCAATACTTCTTCAAAGACCTTCTTCAAATTTTCTTACAAAAGTTATCGCTTTTACTTCGGCATATTTATACCATGCAAATACTCCGGATCCGATAACTCCGATCCTAGCACCTATTCTAGATGCAACATTCCTAGTCCTATTATCATGTCAAATAACAGGCATGCCTGCGTTTCGCATCAAAATACTTAAAGGTTTACCGTTCTCCTGTGCGAGGGCAGCGACGTGGATTAGAGAAATCAAAAATCAAACCTCATTTCAATAATTCTAAAGCTGGTCACGCACAGAATCAATTTGACGCTTGGCGCGTTAAATATAAAAATTAATCTTTTCTCAACGCTTAGGCATCTCTTACACTACAGTAGTCAACTTCAGGCTACATGACGTGAGGATGTACTCGTCCGCTTATCGTAACATGTATAGTAAACGCATAGAAAATTTACGACCTTTTCCTTCAAAGAACCCTAAGACAGCGCTAAAGCAGCAGGAAAGATTTCAACGTGCCTGCAGACGTATTTTCACGACTAAAACGATTTCAACATCAACATCATCAAGTTCTAAAGAGGTCAAGAAAGCTCTGTCTTTAAGAAAAATTAATACAAGCAAAGAAATACCGCTTCCTCTTTTTGGATCAACAATCCATTAGAAAACCATTGAAACATTTACAATATCGTGTTAAACCTACTCTGCCTATTGGTCAACATTATCTCTACCGTACACCTGTTCATTTAATCTCACCACCTGAGAAAGAAAAATCAACTCCTCCCCCCATTGTAAGGGCAAAAATTCCAGGAATTCCCGATGATTTATTGCCTTTTGTCCCAGACAAGCACAAGCCGATATACTCACAAAAGAAAACCTCATTGTAACGGGTACTCCAGCTTTCCTGCAAAAACCCATTCAACTTAGACAAGCTCACGATAAAGCTGGGTGGAAGACACCAAGTAACAAAAAGACGTATTATGTAGCTCCTCCACCATCATCAACAATTAAAAACACCTCTGTTTCTGTCAATTCTGATCATACCTGATGACTTATTGCCTTTCGTTCCCGATGGTCCTTTATACTCAAGGGCCGGGCTAGAGCTTACACCGGGTTCTTCTGCATTCGTGAACAGATTAAGAGATCTCAAATATAATCATGAGAAAGCCGAACGTGCTAAAACTAGAAAATTCAACATTGTACGTGATCTTACACTTTACCAAGACATTTACCACAAAGAAATGTCAATTTTAGTCGAGTCTAATAAGGAACTCGACAATTAAAAAACCCGAAAATCCACCCAAACTCACATTGAGGAAGGCTCTGTTGGCGAAAATGTTCAGAGATTTCAATATACCTTACTCTTCAGTCATTGATGTTAATCAACCTCATTACGATACTGATATTGACGCATATTCACCTGGTAGAATTAACTACAAGCGTCTCCCAGAACTCCATTCCTCGCTAAAACGCAAAACTCCGTGCCCCGAGGACGATTTCGCCTCGGATACATAATGGATACTCGGACCTTAACGCCCTACTGGTTTAGGTTCCCCAGTGGATCGTTTTACTTTATATAATTAGTTTTATAGATAGATTTTTTTTTTACTTTACATTTGTAATGAACCTTTCTTTATGTTTTTTTATATATAGTAATGCTCTTTTTTTACGCCTACATCAATTTTATTGGTTATTTATAACCTCCAAAATCAACCGTACAATTTTGAATAGTGATGAACCACTTCACCCCTGACAGTATTTACGGGTAGTCCCGGATCCGATGTCTATATAATAAAAATAAAATAAAAATAAAATCTAACCCCTAATAATTTTACATATACAGTATATATACACGGATATCAATTATTGTTGTATAAATCATAAAACTAATAATTGATACCATTAAAAGAAAGCACTTCATATTATTCTAAAAAATAAATATTGTTTTTTTCGTAATATGTATATTATTACTTAACCTTTTTTGAAATAAAAATGCATTAAGCATTTTAATTTTTGTTATCGCTATAACATTTTTAGGTTATTTTGCAACAATTACTAGTTCTTGATAATATGTACTCAAACGTTTAATCCCTATTTATGTAATAAGTAATAACCTAAAAAAGTGAATAATACGATACTTGAAACGTGTAACATTTTCCGTTATAAATATCTATTATGATAATTATGAAAAACAAAAAAATCGAGAAATAGAAATATTTAATATGTGATTGTATTTTTAGTGAATAAATCCAAAAAAAGACATCAAATGTTTAAAAATAATCATCCAAACATTTTTTGAATCTTTCGTGTCGCACATCTGAAATGTGTGTCAGGTTGACGGCGCAGTGTGGCGCAGCGATTTTTCCAAAAAAAATTAAATTGCAATTTTTTTATTTAAAATAAAACCTTTAAATTACTGCACTAGATGTATTTTCGTCCGCTCTGCAAATTTACTTAGAGTATATACTGGCGGTTTAGAAGGCCATTTTCGAGTTATTTAACAAAAAGCGTTTTTTTTGACAAATCCAATTTTGGAAATGATCGGCAAAGACGATAAAATCAGTTGTTATATACTAAAGTCAAAATCTACGTCCAAATCCTCCTTCCATTTATAAGTGAATTTTGTAAAACAGATGAAAATACATCTAATGTGTAAATTTGAAAGCATTACATTAAAAAGAAAATCTTCAACTTAGATTTTTTTGAATTACTGCGCCACACTGCGCCGTCAACCTGACACACATTTCAGACGTGCTTTCGTGTCACATTATGACGTTATATACTCTAAATTGGATTCAAATTCGAGAACTATCTATTATTCATCGATATTGATTTTAAAATGAATATGGTCTATTATAAAATTTATTTTTAAAAGAGTTCTAAAATTAGTTCCTTTATTATTTATTACAGTATTACAAAACCTCGCTTGATCTAATTCTCATTTAGGCGTTTCGTAGTCGTTTGAAACGTGTGTGTTTCATGATTGGTTTTATAATATATTGTTACTTTTATTTAACAATCATTATACGGATAAAATATTATCAAAATAATTATCATTCGAAAATCATATAAGACATTTTAATTTTTTCGATTACTGAGTTAATCGAAATTGAAAATATTGTGACTTCGATGAGTAACGAACGATAGATTCTTTGTTTCATTTTCAAATAATAAATATATTTAGGACCAATGAACGATCAATACAACAAAAGAATATGGATAATAAAAGTGACACTAATAATAATTGATCAATCGTTTATAATATATACTGTAAAATGGAATAACTTTTTAAAAAAAAAGCTAGTATCATTACATTTATTATGTACAATATGATCATGTTGAATCAACTTTAGCTAAAAAAAATTATTTGATTATTTTGTTATATTGTGATAATAATTTTAAATTATTGAATGTAAAATCTACGAAACAAATTTCATTTTATGGTTATTAATTTTTTCTCTGGTTCATTCAATTCGATTTTTTAAAGCATAAATAATGTTATTTTATAATATATAATATAATTTGGTTATGACCACTTGATTTATTTATTTACCAATAATAATAGTAAATAACCCAACGCAAAAATTTATTTTCTTAATTGTTTGATATCAAGCATTTAATTTTTCATTCTTCTAAAGAAGGTTACGTAGTACTGTATTGACGATTTACTTCTCTATGGTTAATACTGTAAATTTGATATACTTTAAAAGCAACAAATTTGCTGTAATATGTGAACATTTGTTTCAACTAAGAAATACAAATTATTAATAAGCCATAGACAAACTCATGGTCCCTAAAGTATAAAAGAGAGATTAAAATATAAATTTAAGAATTATTAGCTAGTATTAAAGTAATGATGACTTTACATTGATAATCAAGTAGTGTTATTAGGTTTTTGACTCTTTGTATTGTTACGCGTATTCTTGCTTATGCTCATAAACGACCTACCCTGTAAAAAAAAAATGTCCGGAAATTGTAGCTAAAAACATCCGGAAAATGTCCGTGTGTCCGGAAAACGTCCAGAAAATTGCAATATTCCGGACACTTTCTGGACGCTGGGTCTGAACCCTCCTAGACATTTTCTGGACATTTTCCGGAAAATGGAAATTTTCCAACGTCCGGAATATTGCAATATTCCGGACATATTCCAGACAAATAAACATTTTCCGGACGTTTTCAGCTACAATTTCCGGACATTCTTTTTTTATAGGGCTAGAAAAACATCTTTTGATTTGTAAATTTACGAGCGTAATATTCATTTAATATCCGCGCAAACCAACTTTTTTTTCGGATAAAAGATTGAGCGAATGTTCCTTTCATTAATATACGCAAATTTAATTATAAAATTTTTAAATTCTTTTTGATAACTTAAAACTTTACCATTAAAATTTATTATGGGTGAGTGACCAACCAATTTCTGCATGTAATTAGGTTAAAATAAATAAGGTTCATCTTTCCGTTCATTTTGATCACTTGTAAGGTTCGTCTATGAGGTGCCAATTTTTATTTATCATCAAAATATATATATATATAACTGATATAGAATCGTAGTTCTTTCATTGGTAGTTATAATATTTATGATGAATAAGCCTTCGACTATAATCCATTTAAAAATTCATTGATGATACTTTGTGAAAGAAAGTTCCTTATTTCGTTTCCTTTCATATTCCTTTTCTCGCCCTTTTTATACAATTTTTTCTTGTTGTCCTATAAAAAAAGAAAAGATAAAATAAAGTTCGGATCGGCAAATAAATAGCTTATATTTGGTTAATAATTTGTAGACCATTAACGTCTATTTTTTTGAATCGGAATAAAGAGTGAATAGAGTCCGTATCAACTTCACGATATAAAAAGATGTCTTATATCTCAAGGAACGTGTGTTCAATAAAATTAAGCACAAAAGAAAAGTTTCTCAAGCCAATCTTACTGTGTACATGTGAATTGATGGAGTTTTTGAATTTTAAAATATTCAGAAAATTTTCCCTTGGCAGAAATTTCTATACTGTACATGCCGATTACCGCAGTCGTAAGGTTTGTACTCACGTGAATGTCAATCATTGATTTTGTCAAAATGAAAACCCCAAAGGATATATAGTACTATTCTTTTTTCTCATTTTCATTTTCCTTCACAAGTTTAGAACCATGAAAGCGAGATCGTGCGATATATGGCGTCAGATGCCGATTTGCGTCAACTAACAGCTGACGTCATCAGATGACGGCTGGCCTAATAATGCTGGCCAACACACTTAAGGCATTAAAATATTGGGCAATATTGGGCTGATAATGTAGGCCGGCATCATCTCACAACATATATACTATCAGCTATATATTTATTGCTGTTAATGATTCTATTATTATTAAAAATTAAGGACTCTCTCCTGCATAAACCGATTTACATAGAATTCCGCAGCAACACACAAACAACGGTAAAATGGGTATAACACCGTCAAGAGAAAAATTTATAGCCTTAGAAGGATACGCCCAAAAAAGCGTCGAAGAGCGAAATACAATACTAACAAACGCAGGAATGGAAATAACTCAAACGGACAAAGACTTAGCAGAATTTTTAGGGGCAGAAGACGTAACCTTAGGTTGCTTTATTAGAGGTATTATTACGATATGCATAGACGAACACAACAACATACGCAACCAAGAGTTCACAAGATATATGGAGGAATACAAAAACGTCAACAACGAAATGCTTGAACAAAAACATATAGAAATGAA